CCACCTATTAGCCATTGCAGAATAGTCTTTTGTTCTGTTTTCATATTTTTATTTGAAAATTTGTCAAAATATGTTTCAAAGCTTAGTCGCAAGTTTGATACTAGTGCCGTAAAGCACGAGGAAGCTGCTTTCTGATTGGCCAATGTCGACTTCTTGTCAGTCTTTCCATTGGTCGGTCAAATTTTGCAAAATGTTGGTCTGACATCACCCGTAATGTGAGGTGGGACCGCTTCCGTGGTCTAGTGGGAGAGCGTCCGCCCGGAGAGAGCGGAAGGTCCCGGGTTCGATCCCCGACCGCGTCATACCAAATGACGTTAAAAGATGGTACTTGTTGCTACCCTGTCTGGCACTCGGCATTAAGGGGCTAAAACAAGGACTGGTCAGCTCGGAGTCAGTATATTGTGTCTGAGTGGGGTATTCATGTTAAATTGCGGCATGGTATTTCAGTGAGCTAGCACTATAAATCGGCATCTAGTACAAGCAGATACACACACACACATACACGTGCATGCACGTCGCTATATAAGTGCAATAATCTTGGACGCGACGTTAAACCCCATTTCACCTCACCGTAATGTGAGGTCCTCTGGTCTTTGTTTAGCAGTAGCCAGAACTAAGTTCTAGTTTTATGAGATTGGCTCTCGACTAGACTTCACCCAATTTCGTGTGTGCCAAACCTCTTCTGGCACTCAATAGCAATGCTCATGGCAAGAGGAGGTAACTCTTCCTGCAATTATTCCCAAAGCTGGTTTACCACACCTCGGAGGGTCGGTTCAAAATCCCATCTCTAAACTCACTGATTAACGCAGAAAGCGGGAAAATCAGCGTACATCACAAACTAGGGTAAAGGTTCCATGCGTATTTCATAAGCTGCTATTTTTAGAATGTTCTTCGAAGTTGAGTTACTTTGATGAAGTCAACAGTAATTCTCAAAACTATCAAAACAGCTGAATACGCGATTGTAAATAGGTTTATTCTCTTCTGCAATCATTTGTTATAATTTTCAGTGTGTTGTAGACGTAATTAATAAGGGACAATATATCAAAAAATAATTAAATCGGACCTCACCCTACTTCTATTAGCGGTATGCAGTTTTTACATAACTACGCAGTTACTTCCCTTCGGACATGTTTCACAAACACTACAGTATTTGTTTTTAATAATCCTCGTAATTTGAGGCAGTATATGTAAGAATGTTGTATTGGAGAATATATTTATGACATTGAGGTATTTTTTGCGTTGACAGTTTTAAGTTTTAAAAATACTAAAATAACTGTCAGGCTGAACCATTTCACATTGTCAAAGTCATGTGTTTTAACGTAGGTAGGAGGAACAATTAAGATGTCATGTATGTGTGTTACAATAAGTAACTAAATGTATGTTTTAATTAATGTAAAGTACAGTAAACTTGTATGAAATATTGAACACCAATCGTATGATTGGAATAATCTTCTTGATACTTACAGAAAATTGAGAGATTGTGAATCTGTAACATCAATTCATGCTCTGTGTTTGGCAGAAAATAATAAGGTTGCACAGTGGCTTCATGATCATTTTGAGTGTGAACTTAGTGAGCGAAAAATTTCTTCACGAGAAACATTGCATCACTTTTTCAATTCAGCAGTATTAGTAGTAGTAGTGGGTCTGGTTCCTTTTCATTGCTGAGATCAAGATCCAGAAACATAGCATATAAAAAAGCAAAGAAAAGGTTTGGAAAATGTTCCCATTAATTGAACAGTTGCAACTTACTGACAGCATGAAAGCACAGCTTGATGTGAGTGTAGCTCCGACTAAATTTCAAACAAATGGGTTAGTATTTAAAATTCACAAATTTGCCCCCAGAAACCGTCAAATGTTTGCTACGTGGGTTGGACAGGTTTTTAATGTTCCCCTTCAGCAGCTTAATTTTAATGCCTTAATGAGTAAGTTTCACCGAATACAGCAAGAAGATAAAAGGAAAAAAGGACAAGTTAAGGAAAAATATAGAGCTGAGCATTTCATTTTGCCAGTACAAACTCCTGAGAGAGCGAGGTCATATTATGACATTGTAAGGCCTTGGACATGAAGGTCTGAAGGATGAAGTAAGCAAGTTAAACCCACTAATGCAAAACAAGAAAGAAAAAATGATATCTCTAGAAAGGGAAAATTACAATTTAAAAAGAAAATTCAAAAGAGCCACTGATGAATTTGCTGTAAAGAGACAAATTGGAAACCCTTAAGCCAAATATGAGAGGAAAATATTTCAGCCTTAACTGGAGAGAAGAGAGTGCCCATGCTCAAACTAAAACCGGCCTGGCCAAAAATGCTTCAAAAGTCAAGAAAATTGGGAAGAAATTTGAATACAACCAACAAGAGCTGAAATCTTCAAAGGAATATATCAAAATGTCAACTGAAGCTTTGGAAGATTCTATTTGCACATTGGAAGAGGCAGCACAAAAAGAGAAAAAGCATAAAAAATGACTTTGAGTACTGTGAAGAACTGTTGAAAGACAAAAGAAAGTTTAATACAGACTCCTTATGTTTCTTTTCATATTTTGTTGTTGTAGGTAAGACATTTCAAGCCCATACTGACAGGCACAGTTGTAGACTAACATTTAGTCTCTGAAATCTTATATTACACAATATCCTTCTTGACTCTAAAAATAAAAACAATTCTCTATGCTGTGGAATAGAGCTAGCTTGAGATGGCTAGACTTGCTTTTGTATGCATTTCTAGATTATTATTTTTTCATAAAATAAATATATTCCACGGTCATGGTGCAGGACTAGCACAGTTGATGCTGTACTAGAAACGGTGCCTGGAAGCTCAGATGTGTCACAAATTATTAACTTAACCCCCAAAATGGACATTTTCGCCACATTTCAAAGTCATTTTTCTATTCCCAAAATTCAGTTTAGATGAATATGCACCAAACTTGGCCCTGGATTACTGCTGTTATGCTACTAAAATATTATGGTTTTATTCAAATAAACATTTTCTTAAAATGTTCCCCTTTTTCATTTGTTGCCATTTTTTAGACCAAAATGAAATTTCTGGCTCTCCACGGTGGTGTCAAAAAGAGTTTTTCTGAATGATAATCAGACAAGTGGGAGAAAAACCATCCTGTGATATGTATTTCTTAAGGATTTCTGAAGCTAAATCAGTGATTTGTTAACACAATATGCAAAATTCTAAATTTGACTGAGCATTGCTACACTCAATTTCATTACGAAGAATGCTAAGGGCCAACTTTCAGGCACATACGAATCTAACTGTATAAAACAGTTATGGATCACTGAGCAACCAGATTGACAAATATTGTACGTGTCGTAAACGACTGCTTATGTTTTTTTCACCGTTGACAACAATTGTTTGGCTAGTGACAGCCTCATTCGATAGCTGTCAAACAACATGAATGTTGTCAGTAATGAAACAGAATGAATGTTGACAGACCAGAGCGCCTCATGACTGTCTCTTGTGCATCTAATTTAGATACGAATACTTCAGAATACAAATCAATTCAGATTCGGTGTACAAACCTCTTCCTCATTTTCACTCATCCCGCCTGTGTCGACTTCTTGAGCGGCCATCGTTGTCATATAAGTACAAACCAAAGCCTTAAGTTACGTTTAAATGTATGTGGGTTGTTCGTATGCTTTTCTAATAGCATATAAAGTGATTAAAATATTTAAGGATAAGCATATATCTTTCTAGCATGATTTAATTTAATTTCAAACAAGAGAAGGTGGATATCGTTAAATATTTACTCAATATGTGTATTTGGTTAGAGAGTACACAATGTTCCTATCTCTAAATCACAAGAGCTTCAACCTAAAATCCGGAACACTTGCACTAAACGATTCAAAAGTTAACTGCACAATACGCGCTCAGAATCAATAAAAACGAAATGGCATTGAAAAGAAGATAAAATTAAAAAATGAACATGAAAGGATCCTAATAATATAAAATGATAAATATGAAAAGGATACCAGTTGGTTTTAATTATTACTTTTCGATATTACAATGTAGGTATAAAGTAAGAGATATGAAACGTGTGAAAGGATTAATTTTTGGTGCAGTTTCCCTTTGGACAATGATGTTTATTTCCTTTCATCTATAGCACGAGTAATTGATAAGTTTTAACATGTTGCTTATATGAGAGGCATTATAATTACGTATATGAATGGTCGGTTTCTTTCCTTGTAATATTACTGTACTGTTTAAACCAATCTCATCATAACCACAGATGTCAGTGCATGCTTCTGCTTTGTTCAGCGGTAGCGAGAACTATCAGATCTGATTTTGTTTGAGACTTTGTTGAAAGTACAGTGTTAAATTATGACTTTACTTGTTCACATATTCATATCTCGACACAGAGAGGTATCGTATCGGAATAATAGATGATATTTCAATGAGATTGGGGAACACATGGGCTGTGTCGATTATAAAGTTACTGTTTACTTACCTCATTGCTACGAAACTAAACACATTGATGTCGGATGCTAACTCAAAATATATTTAGTAATTGCAGGTTATGCTGGATTACAAAATTATGGGCAATGCATGAGGGAGTTTTGCTCTGGATCTCGAGTGTACAAGCCTATTGTATGTATAATATAAATAGGTGGGGCTTCGCTGTACTAAAGTATCTATGATAATTATTGATGAATCATAAACATAATATTTCTTTAATAGTACACAATTTCGTTGGTCGGAAGTAAGAAACATAATAAAGCAGGCCCGTCTATATATTGCTACGGAGTGTGCATAGGAAATAAATGACAGGGTGTTTCTTGGAGGAAATGCGGTATATCGATGAATTGTTTTTTGAAATTACTGTAATCTTAATGCTAATCTCAAAGAAGAACTTGTAGCTCTTAATAGGCCCCATTAATAATGTATATTGCGTTATTCATGTCGGTTACGCACTACACGCGTATTCAGTTTATGATGATCAAGGTTCGTTTTAGGAATACCAGCTAAGTTTTGAATAAATTACGAATAAGTTATGGAAGAGTCCGGTCGATTGCTCCGAACATAAGCCGGTTTTACACCGTGACACGACTAGTGAATTTAGCAGGGCTTCGATGAATGACCAAACCTTATTGATCTAGTAAATAGGACCACCTGCAATTTTGTTCTACGAAACCATTAACATGTCGACTGTAGGAACTAATAATGTCAACGACCCAAGGAGACCAAATAAGGTTGTCAGGTAAATGAAACCATGGCACTCTGTGAACATCAATGTGTCCATCTGTATCTAGTGGTGGTGCAGAGGCCAACTAGCCTACTTGGGACATTGCATGTTTAATAATGTGTATTATTATCGTAGCCTGTTTATGTTTATGAACAGGTATAGCTCTTTTGTCGTACTATTTGAGGGTTTTTTTATCTGCTTGTATTCTGTTTTCTCTAGGCTACAACAACATTACGTATTCAGTTTATGATGATCAAGGTTCGTTTTAGGAATACCAGCTAAGTTTTGAATAAATTACGAATAAGTTATGGAAGAGTCCGGTCGATTGCTCCGAACATAAGCCGGTTTTACACCGTGACACGACTAGTGAATTTAGCAGGGCTTCGATGAATGACCAAACCTTATTGATCTAGTAAATAGGACCACCTGCAATTTTGTTCTACGAAACCATTAACATGTCGACTGTAGGAACTAATAATGTCAACGACCCAAGGAGACCAAATAAGGTTGTCAGGTAAATGAAACCATGGCACTCTGTGAACATCAATGTGTCCATCTGTATCTAGTGGTGGTGCAGAGGCCAACTAGCCTACTTGGGACATTGCATGTTTAATAATGTGTATTATTATCGTAGCCTGTTTATGTTTATGAACAGGTATAGCTCTTTTGTCGTACTATTTGAGGGTTTTTTTATCTGCTTGTATTCTGTTTTCTCTAGGCTACAACAACATTCCATTTTTGTTTATTTGCATTTCCGAGTCTCCGCGATTAGTGCTGGTGTTTTTAAAAACCAATAATACCGTTCACTATGGACGTTCGTGGATGAAATCAAAATTTGATTCTTTACAAGACAGCTTTTGTAACCAAACCACATTTATGAGTCACAGAAGATTTCAGTTTAGGCATCAAAGGACCCAACCCCCATGGGAGAATCAGGAGCATGCATGTATTAGCACATGATTAGTGAAGTTATTCATGTTAATACAGTTGACTGTTGGTTAATGAAGTTTCTTCTAAAACTTGTAAACATGATAAGTGAAAAGGAAGCAAACACGGGTCATTTGAAAACTGAGTGGGACAATAAATTCCTTATTCCCTGTTTCGAAGCAAAAGGCTTCATGCTTTTTCCAAGTCAATAAAAGTCACATGACATAGCACAAGTTAACTTCAGATAAATCAGACAGCTGTTTTCTATCAAATTTTTATTTTTTAATTTTTTTTTACAATGGCAGTTTAAAACTTGTCAGTAACATAAAATAGTTGTAGTGGTTTTATGCATCCCTAGTTAGGTTTCATACCACCCACCTCCTGCTCGTAGTATAAAACTAATCCAGGACGCATAAGACCACATATATACCCCTTGTGATACTGATAAAACTTACAGTGTTGAAGAGGTTCGAATCCGAGTTACAATGAGACCATTGCAGCTATATTGGGAAAGAAAAGCTATGTAATGGCCACAGTTCAGCCACTTCTGCTAAAGGAATTATTGTCATGCTCTTAAATTCTCTCTAAATGTAACTTTGACTCTGTAAACATTTTCTGTGAAATTATTCTCCTTAGACATGTTAGAAGGTACATATAAGGCTCTGAGTTTATAACTATAAATTTGGCTATTGTGTATTGCAACATTCATGTGTTCATTCATCTTTATCAAGTTTATCAGATGTTAGATAGATTCCTTGTTACAATTAGCGTTTTAGAACCATTGCCTCATGTTTTTCTGTTTAATTCCATTCAGGTACAAGCCCCCTGCCTCAGGTACTCCATCAGAAGACCCTACACCGGACTACATGAATCTGTTAGGCATGATCTTCAGTATGTGTGGGCTGATGATGAAGGTAGGCTTAGCCTTCGCCACCTTTGGCATCAGTGGAAGAAAATAGTATGAAGAACACCATGCTCTGTTGACAAATGTATTCTGCTAGTTACAATGTGTGACACCATGCCCTGATGGCATTGACATTGTTCATGCTATCAATCACTGGTTTGCCTGACCTGTGAAGATCTGGGGTAGAATAAGTCTTCAGCAACCCATGCTTGTCGTAAAAGGCGACTATGCTTGCCATAAGAGGCGATCGTGTGGTCAGAGCTGACTTGATTGATGCATGTCATCGTATCCCATTTGCGTGTTTCAATGTTCATGATGTCAATCTCTGGATTGTCTGGTCCAGACTCGATTATTTACAGACCACCGTCATGTAGCTTGAATATTGCTGAGTGCAACATTAAATAACAAAACAAACAAACACGGGTTTGCCTTCCCTTGTCCATAGTGTTTAACAAGCTGCTGTGATATCGGTTGATTTTTGCTGACTTCAGTTTAAAATGATAAACATATGTTCACATTCTTTTATGATTTTCATGGTTAGCATGTTTAGTACATTTAGCATGTTTAGTAGTCAGTTTCTTTGACATGTTAATACTCAGTGATTATATAACAGCTACATTTTCAACAATAATTTTTGAACCATCTGTTTATGTGGGGATTCCGGGTTAGAATGGGTCCCCAGCAACCTGTACTTATTGATAAACATGCTAAATGGCTTGTTGACTTAGTTGATCATGTGACATAGTACCCCAACAGCTTCATACATTGCTTATAATATCAATCACTGGTTTGTCAGGTCCAGACTTGATTATTTGTATAGCTGGCTGTTGTATAGCTGGAATATTGCTGATTGAGGCTTTAGAGTTTAAACCGGAAACATTGTTATCCTTGAGTTGACATGTTATGATATATGTTTTAATATTAGTTTTGTAAACTCTTTCAGCTGAAATGGTGTGCCTGGGTTGCAGTGTATTGTTCCTTCATCAGTTTCGCCAACTCTCGGACTTCTGAAGATACGAAACAAATGTTAAGCAGTTTTATGTAAGTTTTATTGTGAAATAAATCTCTTTTCCACTAAAGATACTAGAGTTTAATTTAATGTTTAAACTGTGAAGAGACGCCTGCCAACCTATTTTTATAACAACTTAAAACAATGTACCTTTGGGATGTGGCATCCTTGTTTTTAAAGCATATTTCCCATATGATGTTGCGTCATATTCTGCCTCAGTCCTGTTTTGGATAATTCATGATTAAGTCATAGATGTTTGCTATTTCTTATTTCTACAGTGTAAATATTTGGGTAAGGGGGGGGGGGGGGGGGGGGGGGGGGGTCCCAGCAATAGAAACAAACTGTTTCAGTGTCCAAAACCTTAAAAATGGCAAATTTCTTCCCGTCCTTATGATACCTTATCTACTGAGCAGTTTTGGAAGGACTACAGCCGTACAGGACTAGTGCTTATTTCTAATGCTGTCACTTGCTGACCTTTGCTGACCTTTTGGCAATGTGGCTTTTGAGTTCAGCTGTGATACACGTCTATCTGTGTAACTGGTCAAAGTCTCCGAAGCATGTGTAAAATAACATTGATTATCTGTGTATTGGTGTTACCTCTCAATGTCCTAGTTTTAGTGCTTGACTGATTCCCAGCCTTCACTACTTAATTTTGTTGGATTACCATGGCAAATGATGGATCTAAATGATGTAATTATCCCATTTCAGGTTGTCTATATCAGCAGTCGTGATGTCCTACCTACAGAATCCTCAGCCCATGCAACCCCCATGGTGATGTCAGCTCAAGAGTCTACTCACTCGTATTGATCCCATGTATATTCTCATCCAGGTGTTCGCATACTGTGTCATCACTGAACTTGTCGTTAGTGTACGATACAAACCCATGCTACACAAGTTATAACCATATGATACACAAGATAAACCATATGATACACAGATACATACCAACCCCTCTTCAGTTAGTATCCCTATGTCAATAATTATATGTTTTCAATTTAACGTTAGATGCTGGGCATTTTCTGTTGAATGCAGACATATTTTGTACCAAGAGAGTCATCAGTGTCCAATCCTTATAGACTGTAAAAGTCCTGGTATGATGTGATATGCATGTCTTTTAACTTATTTTAATGGCTTTTTATGCATAGATATAGATGCTTATTACTTTCAGGAATCTGTTTGTCCTGATGTCAATCATTAGAGCTTGGTGTTCATGCCTAATGTGTTTGAATGCTAATTTGAAATAACATGGTGTCCGTAAACCTATTTTTGACCATATATTCAACCGCTATGATCCCTGAGGTAAAATTATGTGTATGAATGTTTATATTAAATGAGCATGTAAGTATCTTCCTGCCTTCTAGTGGACCCATTTTTTCATAATATTGTCAGTTCCTGTGAAAGTGAGGTGTAAATGATGCCGTGACTCGTGTGTGGATGTCTCTGCCCCACAAATACCAGGATGAATGGTCTCCCATTGGAGTAGTTCTTTGTGTGAAAGACAAACATTCTTCGGGTGTGTCAGTTGAACAAATGGAGTGTATTTTTGACATCTCATACTTAAATTCCAGAGATAAGATATCCTGAAAAGAAATATTCTTTTATATTTGAATGGAAGATTATCTTGTTTGTATTTCTGATGGTAACGTGAATATGAACATTGTAAAGGAGTCAGGTTTAACATTTTGTCAATAATTTATGAGAGAAGAAATAAAGGTATTAAGTCTTGTTGATGGTCCGAGTGCTATTTTTGGTATGATGAACATTATGTAACTGGTGGTGATTCTGGCATCACAATTACATTATTCAATGCGTTTTAGGAACAGGTGTATTAGGCACTATAGTATGATGTGCATGGTTGCGCCCTTGGGCATGTTAAAAACCTAGGATTGTGGGTTCGAGTCCCAGATTCAACCTGATTATGTTTGGTTTGTCAGCACCATAACCGTGCTCAAGGGTTTTACCATGGTAGATGTCTGAGACCTGAGTTTCTTTGGGCTTTCTTCCCCCCTCAAGCTGACATACCATGATATAACTGAAATACTGTTCAAAGCTGTGTCAAAATCACTCACTCGTGTGTTATGGCCATTATCATCTTCAAATGTTTTTGGATAGGTGGCCAAGTAGTTTTAAAGTCCTATAATCTCTGTATACATGAAACTTGGCCAGAGATCCATTTATAGCTCTAAAATTGCTGGTGTTCCATACAGCATTGATACGCCCGAACAATGCTTCTGTTGCTTTCTCTATATCGACCACGCCATGCACAAAGACATGAGGATCAGTGAAGTATCCAGACTCTAACTCCACAAGAATCCTATGAAGATTTGGGTTAGAATTGGTCTTCAGCAACCCATGCTTTTCGGGATCGGGTGGTCAGACTTGCCGACTTGGTTGATGCATGTCATCGTATCCCAATTGTGTAGATTGATGCTCATGATGTCAATCACTGGATTATGTGGTCCAATCTTGATTATTTACAGATTGCCATCATGTGGCTGGAATATTGCTGAGTGCGGCGTTAAATACAAACAAAACACCAAAAGGGCACCCTCCAAAGAAAGTTTCAACATCAGCATTATTTCAAATTTTATTTGATTTGTGCAAGTCGGACATCAACTCCGGCCATGCATGAGAACATGTATGCTTCACACAGTACGCCCACAGGTCAGATAAGCACACCGACAGATTGGCCACCGCCAGACATTTATACATTGTGGTTAAGCTCTGTACACTTGGGTTCAAATCATAACTGCAGACAGTGTAACAAATCTCAAACAATAAATGCAGACAGTACTATGGCTCTCAAATAACGTCATATGTAATGTCTATTAAATAATAAATACAGATAGGACAACATCTTTTAATACAATTTCACAATTTGTGGTCTGGGCATAAACAGAAATTTGTGTAATTATGGAATATGCTTGACATTACAACGATGAACTAAGTATCTAACCAATTAAAGTTGTCATTAGTTTAATGGGAGCACTATCTCTCTGTTCGGAAACAGCTGTAAAAAGCCAATGACATTTCTTTGGAATTTTATGACATCATCAAATAATGGATGGTGGACAGTTATTTGCTTCCATGACAACCAAACAGCCGAATTGTTACATGTAATAAATACAATATTCATGTTGTCTTGCCAAGTATCAAGAGCATAACATATCAGGATACTGAATGTGAGGAGTTATCATACATCATGATTAGGTAAAAGACTGAGTGAGTGAGTGAGCTGTTTAATGCCACTTTGAACCGTATTTCAGTTTTTCACAGCATTTCAGCTTGTGGGAGGAAAGCCTGGCGTGATGCAGTTCTTCAACGTTTACCACTTTGGTGAAACCCACGAGCGTGGGTATGGTGCTGATCAACCCACATAATCTGGGCAAACCGGGATTTGAATCGCAGGTTTCTGGCCTTCACATGGGACGCAACTCTGCACAAAATATTGGGATAGACACATTAAACTTTAGAAGCATTACCAAGTTTAGATTTACCTGTACTTGTACAAGCATGGTTTTCTATCAAACATTATCAAAACTAACACTGCCCAAAGAACAGGGGTACAGGTTGTCTTAGGTATTGCTGTTTGCTGAGTTGTGTCCCTTTTTGAGCAACATTAAACCCGACCCACTCAATGAACCATAATGAACCAGTTCTCCAGTGAATCAGTCACTGCTATGAAAATTGCCATAGGGCACATGGAGTAGGGTTTGGAACTTCTTTAAATATGGTAATTCTTTCGTCAGACATTTCACAAATGCCTATTGTGTGAGCTTATTTTCGCGTTGTGGTGTAGTATTATTACCCATGTCATACACAGAAGAGTAGTCAGAAAGACATTGTGAAAAAACATTGATCAAACACCATGACCTGTTCATCTCAACGATAGACAGATTGTTGAGGTTCTTGTATCTTTACAAAGTCATTACACAGGAAGATCAAGAAGCGGTACTATCCACTTTCAAAATATCATATATCAAACTCTGAATTTTGAAAAAACGATGGGCTTTTTAAGGTAATTTTTGAAAACATAAAAAAAATTAGATTAAACAATCAACTTTTTCATTTTGATATTCACATGTTTGATACATTGACAATTTTGACATGCATATATTTGATCATTTTAAAATTTTGTGCCAGGCTGTAAAAAATATATATTTGGCATATAATCAATATATTATTTGCAGATTTTATGAACACACATAAGTATTTATCACAATTCTTTCATTGTTCCGCAAGTCACACTGATTCAACAAGCTTGTCACATTTCCTAAAGACTGTATGACTGCAGCATTTTGACGTACAACTAATCACAATAAGATGCTAATAATTCCACAGCTACTCACAGTGAAAAAGCCAAGATATCAACACAACTCACTAACCTCACTATATACAGCGACTGGGAGATGCATCTATATAGCATTGAACTATATACAGTGGGAATGTAGAACCTACAGAAGTGACAGCCTGAGCCGTTAAGAACAACAAAGTACTTGTACAAACAGCAGCTAATATAATACATCAGATTTGGGAGCATATAAATTTATTCAATGTAAATCCAATCATAAACATGAATAATGAAGACAGCCATAATCTAACAACACAATGCAGCCTTTACAATGCTGTTACTTTATCATGTTAATGAAAATGATCATTTTCCAGATTTAATCATACACAGTATGGAATAATGACTAAATGAGACATAAGCTGCTTCAAAAACTAAATCCTATGTTTTTTATTTGTTAAAAAAAAATGCTTGGTTAAGGAAATGTTCTCTAATTCTGTCTGAACCTATGAGAAGAAAGATTGGATCAGGAGCATATCGGTGCTATCAAGTTGATGGGTACGAGGATGTGTCAAAAGATGTTACATCGTTACCAACCAGAAACATTTCTACACCAGTACTTGTACAAAAACAAACTACTCACTTTACGCTCTTTTAGTAAGCATCATAAATGTTAAAAAATACATTTGAAAGGAAAGGGGAAATTGGGATAAAATAAAATGAAAAATATAAAATAAAATTCGGAAATGATGTTTGAATTCTTTACTCACCCCCTAAATATGTACACTGCATTATTATCCTTTAAATGATCACTGCCAGTTATATCTCCGGCATTGTGGTGAAGCATAAGTACCCTGAGCCCTGTTCCACAAAGCCAGCTTGGCGCTGTGACTATCATAAGCCAATGTCGAATTATGGACTTACATTATACGAAAAAAATATACGATTGTCGTAGATCCAAGTTCGCTTGTGGAAATAACCCTGGCTTTGAGAGGTAATCCATTTTATCCAACACAACAAAAAATAAAAAACAAAATCAGTCAGTTGTATTCAGGCAGCACAGCGTACAAGGAAAACAAACATTATTGCATGTTACTTGAAGCACATTGGCGCAGTCAACACAAAGTCGTATCTTACACTAATATACAGGGGATCCAACTGTGGTGCTGTGTATTTACAGGGCATCATAAATTAACAAACATTTACACACGTTCATATACACAACTAGTAGGACAGTTAGGGATTAACTCAACAATAACGCATCAGAATAACTTACAGAAACAGAAACAAACTCGGGACAGATAATCTGACCAGGGAAAAGAAACGAATACCTAAGTCACTTCAGTAATGCTGAAGGGGATTGTGAAGAGACGATGTCATGAATCATAAGGTTAAGAATGGTCTTACAAAAACGACACAGTAAAAGTTGATATTTTGCCCTCATTACACACATCACATGGTCACGACCATATTTGGCACATACATAACTGTTAAGTAATTTCTGCTGAGGTGCTGCTTGAATAGGGAAAGCAATGAAGACATGTAACTATATACGGATAACAAGTTCTGTCTACATCCTGCCCCTTCGTTCATCGAAGGCAAGAAGTAACACTGAAACTCTGACACAAGTATACAGAAGTTGTTATCAATAAGAGTATCATGCCTTCATGTTCTTCCAACATGTAAATTGTTATCAAAGACTTGATTAGTGAAATCAGCGTGGGCAAGTCCCTTCCTCAATGCAATCATAACTCTGCCCGTAGACATAAGGCTAATGACACATAGACTCAATAGTTTGCCAAGCACACTGTCATTGAGGGCAGACAATCCCAAACAATCTAAGCACAATTACAATTGTCTTTTGGTCTTGGCTGTGTCCTTGGGTCATTAATACAATATAATATACAATATTAGCAGTTTAAAGTCTATTTTTAGTATCATATTTGCTTTGTGGAACATCCAAAGTAAGAAATTTCTCAATGTTCTTATCGCCTAGAGTTTCACCAAGTTTGTGAGTGATAGTGTTAAAAGATTGTTTCATGGATTTGAAAACCTGATTTCATTATCTCTTGCTGTCATTTTCCCAGAACACAGTACCAAACAGCAGGATTACATGCCTTTGCAATACAGTAATTCAAAAATTTGATCTGATAACAAAAATATTAAGTTTCATTCTAGTCATCATCACATACTTCACGGTTTGGATAAAGTACGATCCTCCATCACCCATGAATACACAGGGCCATGGTGTTGTCGCTGTGTCTAACTGATGGAGTGTGATTCCTGCATGAGGAAGCCACTGAGTGCTCAAACCAGTGAGCGCTCAAACTGGTAAGTATTCAGACCAGTGAGTGCTCAAACCAGTGAGTGCTCAGACTGGTGAGCGCTCAAACCAGTGCTCAGACCAGTGAGTGCTCAAACCAGTGAGTGCTCAGACTGGTGAGCGCTCAAACCAGTGAGTGCTCAGACTGGTGAGCGCTCAAACCAGTGAGTGCTCAGACTGGTGAGCGCTCAAACCAGTGCTCAGACCAGTGAGTGCTCTGACTGGTGAGCGCTCAAACCAGTGCTCAAACCAGTGAGTGCTCTGACTGGTGAGCGCTCAAACCAGTGCTCAGACCAGTGAGTGCTCAAACCAGTGAGTGCTCAGACCAGTGCTCAGACCAGTGAGTGCTCAGACTGGTGAGCGCTCAAACCAGTGAGTGCTCCGACCAGTGAGTGCTCAAACCAGTGAGCGCTCAAACCAGTGAGTGCTCCGACCAGTGAGTGCTCAGACCAGTGAGTGTTCAAACCAGTGTGTGCTCAGATAACATCACACAAATGGCAACATTTCTCGCTTGACGTGCCATAACTTTCAAACTCTGCTCTATATCAGGCAATGACTGGGTTCATATTCAAGCACGCATCACTGCAATAATGGAGGAACAGTGTTCACATAATTATACTGAAAATTAAAATTTTTTAGGGGTAATGAATTGTTTGGGGGATATTTGTATGAAATTGGATGCTAAGTCTTCACAACAAACTATATCCCCAAAATATTCATGATCCCTAACTTTTATTCTTCAGTATACAAACCTTTGAAGTATTGATAAATACATATACTAGCTTATGTCCTGTAGTAGTAGTATGTTAAGTTATCCTCTGATGTCCTTCTATCGTAGGTCATTTTTAAAGTATAACCCTTGCGCTAAGATTGTTTGTGCAAATTGACCCTCCTAAGAGATACATGTTTTATGTCCTTTTCCTGATATGATATGCTGATATGTGTCACTGCATACAAACACAACCCTATGAATGGTTCTTTGCATATATACCATGCTTCAGCAACATAACCATGTGTACCAGTTTTATGGCTGTCTGGCAATTTCACTATTTATTCCACAATTCTAAATATTTAATTTTGATAATAATGCCATATTTGGTGACATGGATTAATTTTAAACTGTACATCTTCAGAACATTTAGTTCAGTTATATTATAGCATCAAAGTAAAATTGATAAAGCTGAAATATAATGATTTTCAATGGAAGCACATGAGGCATTGAAATTGTCATTTATTAAACAAACATAACTATTGGTTTCTTTTGGATCAACATGATCAAGAAAAAATAAAGTTACAAAAATAATTCAATAAGAATATGGTTTGATCTACAGAAAGCATGTGACATTGAGAAATGTGTGGCCTTCTGAGAGATTCACCTTACAGCTTATTCAAACAGTAATCTCAGTAAGTCAGATCTTTTACTCCGATACGAAAACTGTTTGCACGAAGGTCAAGTGAACATATAACAATATGACTTCATTTCTTGACCACCTTGATTCATCTGTTGGAACTCCTTTTTGGGTATAGAATCCATAGCGCTCAGAAACGTATAACATATCCACAATATGGCACATGCTTTTTTATTTACATTTGTGAAATTCCTAATCAGATAAAAAAATGAGATATGCTGGTCGGCATGCTTCAATCTCTCATACAAAGAATTTAGAAGTTTCCACACTGATTGGCTGGGACCCATTCCACAATGAGATGGTAGTGCTACGACTGTTGTAAGACCACGTTAATGTATGGGAGTTACGATCACCATAGCGCTATGATCACTTTGATGAACTGGCCCCTAATTTCAAACTTCACCTGACATCACTTCCTATGGAGGTGTTGTCCGATTTTCACACAGAGGGGTCATATTGGAGTAAAAGATCTGGTTCTAATGAGACTGCAGTAATCTGGAATGCTGATATATACAGTGGAGCCAGTACATGGTGTGACAGTACTGTCTTTAGGGAGCCTTGTCTCAACTTCAATTTCTAATTACGGAGTACCCTACTCCCCTTAAAAATCAATTCCACCACAGGATTCTGAAGTGCTGATTAAAATAATTAAATCATATGTTGATTTACTATTAGGAGTGTTCAACTGTGTTAAAAAAGAGGCATTTCTGTGATTTCACAAACATTGGAAACCGGGGACAGGAGTGCGGGGTTGTAATTGGCACTGGTTTTACAGTCCTTGCCAAACTGCCTAATACTGCCTAATACGTAGTAAGGTATCATAAGGACGAGTAGAAATTTGCCATTTTTAAGAGTTTTGCTTTTTGTCGTTATTTTAAGAACTACTGGACTAAAACAGTTTTGTTTCTACTGCTGGCGTGTTTAATACTGTTTGCATTACAATTATAGGTGCTTTAAAAATGTCAAAATTACACATCAAATGAAAATTACTATGATGAAGTATTTTGTCATGTTTGTTTATGATGAAATCAATATAAATGGAGAAACTATTATAGGGCGCCAGCTCCCCATCCCCAACTAAATTAACTTTTCAGTTTCATCAACCCCTTAACAGATCCCCTTCTTTGATTCAGTAAACAAAACCACAACTCCTACCAAAATCATTTCTGGCTATAAAAATAAATAAATTGACAAAAAAGCAATGATGTTTGATTAAAAAAGTACACAATTGATTTCTATTTTAAAGTGTCAAATAGGGTACTTCTTAATGAGTGAAGTTTCATATTTTGTCTGATAGCAGAATTAAATTGCTGTCATTGCTGTCATTGCAAGGCATTTGACCAATGAACATGATGAAAAAAATTATAACCAAACATATTCCTATTTTTGCAATCTCGACTGCAACCTCTGCATTGAATAAATAACTGCAGTCCTTAAAAAGTTATTTTTGTTGTACCGGTAATTCACATGATTCATCTGTATTCTTCCAGAATGGCCACAAAAGTAACACACATTTCAGAAAGGTCTTTGATACATAATATTTGGCACATGAAACTAATAAAGTGCTAAATCAAATTAAACACTTTTTAAATACAAAATTAATCTCTTCTCATTCACATATAAATTCAAACCTATGCCTACCATTACCAAAGTAATGTTCTTCATCCTTAAAGGGTCTCCTCCCTCTACACACTATATGCCCAGCAATCTCATCCTCCTCACAGCTGCATACCAGCAGCTGATAAAAGCTAGGAGGCATGGTCAATTCTGCATTAATTTCTTCCCTGTTGCTACTGGTGGCTACTAATCTACCGGTATGTACCGGTATGTATCGGTATGAACTGGTATGTACCGGTACCTGTAGATCTCTGATATCCAAACTCATGTTGCAGGGGACATGTTATGATATCAAAATAATATGTACCGGAAAGCATTATTTTCTGAAATTGGGATGAAAAGGCTACTACATACAGGGACTGCACGTTTTTAAGTCCTCTCATGATTTATCCCATGGGCTTATAAAGGGAAAAATAAAACACTTTTAAGCCCATGGGCTTAAATTAAATTGAAACATTGATGGATCTCCCTTAAGAAAGTGTTTAGCATGCTTAAATATGGCCACTTTGCCCCAATATTCCACCTTTAGTGCTGTAAGAGGTTTCCACTTTTACAAACCACATTGAACCCCCATCGTAGGTTCTGGATACTCAGTAGGACATTTGAAACAAATAGGGAAGACATGCATAACTGCAACATTGGTTTGAAGTTACATTTTTGACAGCTGTCATTTCCATTTTGAACGTGTTCTTGATCGTAATTTTCAAGTTGAAGAAGAATCTCTCGTCTTATGTTATTTCTTAGTATTGCTTTATCAAACTTTGGATATTCCTTCTTCCTATCATGCTTTTGTCCTTTTTAAGCCCTGGGCTTAAATTTGGATAAAATGTTACTCAATTAAAATAGATGAAATTCATAATTAAGCTAGGGATTAAAAACATGCAGTCCCGATACATCAGGCACTTCAAATCATAAAAGTTTATTTGACCATCATATTTTTGGAAAAGCAGTGAATGAATTTTTCAAAGGCACCCCATCCAAAATCCGAGCACTGAAAGGCATGCCATTATAAGCGCTGTGAGTATTCCATTCCTGTGTTCATTTTCTCCAGAAACAAATATCTATCATGATAGGTGTCTTATTTCTAAGCTTACATGACACCTAATGTATCCAATGAAGTGTTACTGTTCACCATTCAAGCAAAGCGTACCATACTTTGTAATACTACCAACAGCTACCTATTACCTGTTGAAGAAAACATTCATTTCCTAAATACAGAATTGGTGCAATAATCTCAGAAATAATTGGCAGTTATGAAACATAACAAATAGCACATGATAAACACAATAAACCTTGCCAAACTATCAATATGCACTTTCTTTTAACAATAAAACAACCCAGGAACTTGCTAATTGTGTTCATGTGAAGTGTTGTGAATGTCTCATGTTTTCTACCAGTAACAAACATGTTGGTATCTATCTATATCTACCACTGTATACATGGTATACTTGAAAATAATATCAACAAAGTAAGATATACATTCTCATATCATTCCTACTTCTATTGTAAGTGTCTCACAGTACATTACAAATTCAGTGTACACGACACACCTACAGGTTTGGCAACATGATATACCTCATGATGCAATAATGACACAAACCTATCATCTGAGACATATCACTGCTTACCTGCTTACCAAGTATCACAACACATTGGTAGGTACAATGTATTGTGATACGTGCAGCCAGATATTCATATATCATCATTATTCATTTCATATTTCCATAGTTATGTCTTTAAGTGGCACCAGGCCAAAGTAGGATATCAGGTATGTTTCTAGTTCCCGTCCTTTTTATCTTCTAGATTTTTAACAAAGGGTGGGTAATTTAAATCGGCTTCCCCAAAACTAACATACAAACTGCATGATATACAATGCGTCTCATGTCTATGTAGGTTTTGTAGGGGGAAGACTACAAGGCCTTTTGGGCTTGTTGAATGCAGTTTAAACATCACTCTTCTTAAACTTAATGATTGTTTGTTTAGTTGTTTAACACCGCACTCAGCAATATTCCAGCTATATGACGGCGGTCCGTACATAATTGAGTGATTGACATCATGAGCATCAATCCACACAATTGAAATACAATGACATGCATCAACCAAGTCAGCGAGCCCGACCACCCGATTCTGTTAGTTGCCTCTTAAACTTTATGAATCGATCCAAAAATGGGCATCTTAATACTGTCAATTTAGTCCAAAACAAAAGTTCAGAAACATATTTTTTTTACCTATAGAACTTTCAGTAAGAAAGAATACAGTTTATTTATGGATTTCAATTTCATTTTTTATTCTTTCAGTGCGATGTTTCAGTACAGATGCTGTACCTTTACTTGTTTGATACAAGTACAGCATCTGTACCCAAATACTGCATTGAAAGAACAAAGAAGACATTGACATCCATAAGTCAACTGTCTTCATTACCATAGTTGTCTTTCATAAAGACACATGGAGAACACCAAAAGTTATTTCTTAAGTGAGCATTAAGGCCTAACACTGCTTGGTCTCTTGAACTGCTTTGACGAGTATTTCTGGGTAAATCAGGAACATTTCTGTGCAGGGATGAATCTGTTTTACATTGTTGTAAATCATATCTGTAACATAGGGTTTAAAATAATATTTCATATTATTACATCATTCATGGTCTCCTTATGAAACATACAGGTAGAAAAAAAGTTATATATAGTACGATACTCTCCTTCTACCTAACATCCCTCTCATTTTCAGGATCTGTTGTATCTATGGTGTAGTCCAACATCATCATCGTCCTCTCGCCCATCACTCGCATATCGGTTGTCACAGTCATCTATTTCTCGTGAGGCAAGTTCCACAATGTCGTTATCATCATCGTCATCCCCGAGATGAACATTGAATTCCTCAATCACAGGCCCATTGTCTACATGTAGTATATACTGTTCATCATAGTCCTCGAAATTGTCGTCATAAAAATTCTCACTATCTGTGTGTTCCTCGTTAATGGATTCCCTTTCTTCTCCATCAAAATATCCATTCATCAACAGCTCGTTATTATCATCTGAATCCACCTCAGCCAGGACATTTAATCCCGATTCTGCTGCGATATGAATGGCATCACCATTAGCAACGTTGTCCACAAAATTGTCCAATGGAAGATCTTCACGACTCACAACAAGCTCCACCTGCCCGACCGTGTCATCATAATTATGTTCTGTATCAGGATTTTCTTCTTCTTCCTCCTCAATGTCCCCGATGACATCTTGCTCGGGTTCTTCAGCATCCCATTCGCCGAGTTCCTGAGCTATCCGCTTGTACCGAGATTCTCGTAGTACACCTTTGGCTCGTAGTGTTTTCGGATGATCAGGTCCAAGTATCTCCTCACTGACACGTGCCCATTTCTTGAAGTATTCGTAGGCTTTCTTGTAATCATTATTGTCCTCGTACACAATGCCGATGTTGATGTAGAGGCGTGAGGTGAGGATGTGGAACTCTCCATACATCTGCATACACAGGTCCATTGCCTGGTTGTACAGCTGGAACACAGACCATCAAAAATCCATAATAGATCATTAACTAGAATGTGTTTTTACTCAAAAACATTAATCACCCCCCTCTTTTTTGTTGATACATTAGTTCAAGTTGTTACTGAAAATTAATTTGCAAATCCAAAAAAACAATAATAACAATGTATAGCATGGAAAGATAATGGTTTCATGCAGAAATATTTATTAATAAATAGCTGTAGAGATTTGGCAGGAAAAAAATGCTACTTGTTTGTCAAAATTGTTTCCATGGAAACACAAGAAATGAAAAAATAATGAAATATGAAAAGGCAATGGTTGAGCATGTGGTCATTGCACATGTATTGGAAACGAAGCCTCCAGTTGTTTGAGGCCAAATAGTTTCCATGGAAATGTAACAAAATGAAATTAAAAAAGGATTTGAAATTAACAAAAGGCACCAGTTAACTGATGATCAATGCATATTTCAAATTTCATTGAAATATGTTGAACAGTTTTCAAATTTATGGCCCCGAAATGAACCCTACCCTCATTTCTCTATTGTTGAGTGAGGTGAGTGAGGTGAGTGAGTGAGTGAGTGAGGTGAGTGAGGTGAGTGAGACGAGTGAGGCCAGTGAGGCGAGTGAGTGAGTGAGTGAGTGAGTGAGTGAGTGAGTGAGCGAGCTAGCTTAACATGGGAGGAATGCCCCAAGTGATGCATGTCTTATACGTTTACCACTTCAGTGAAACCCACGAGCACGGGCATGGTGCTGACAAACCTAGAAACATAATTGAGCTGTTGGATTTCACTCTTGGTTTCTAAACCTGGCTAGCCCCTCACACCTCCACCCTTAGTACCTACTGCGATATTCAGCAGAGGGCTGTATCTTTTATTATTTGTTGTAAGGAAGACAGTTCCGTGACATCAATTCTGTCTGACCAACATGGGTTTTGTAGAGCAGAAGAATAAACAGGGGAAACACAATACTGAATTATCCTTGGAAGGAAGTTACATATACAACGAACCTTAAGCTGTTCCATGCTGCCTCTAGGTGCCAGCACACCCTTGGTCATCAAGGCCTCAGCATAATGTCCCATGTCATTTAGCTCCTGGAATATCTTGAGCGCCTTGTCGATGTACCTGTTGCCCTCAGCCAGTGCTTCACTCCCCGTCAACTCCGGCCCTCCACCACAGGCCTCCCAGCTCTCCATGTTGAACGCCAGTTTCATCAGACTCATCGATAGCTTGAACTGGTAATTAAATAGCGTGAGGTTAGATTCAGTTTCACTCAGCTTGTCTACGCATCCCATCACAATAATGACAAATATAGACGCAGACAGTGTGGCATCATTTGCCCTGATCCATCTTCCAAACCTGGGCCTATGATTTCCACATATAGCCCTGGGAATCTGCTGTCAAAAACCACACACCAGCCAAACAGGAGAACCAACAAATCAAAACTCCTCATTTAGCCCAAAACCCTTTATTATTTCTTCATTTCTATATAAACCAGATTTATGCAGATTTTCACAGTATGTACATCGGTTTTTACATTTATACCTCCCAAAACAAAAATATATAGTGAACAAAAATATATAGTGAAGTCAGTTCTTAAATATTAAACAGAACACATATCACATTTTCATCAATTTTCACTATTCAAAGGATCAGCCTAGTCTATATTTAGTATTAACCTGATTAATCGAAGGTCTACATGGGTAGTATTTACAGACAATTTAATAATTAATTTTAATATCAATTGAAATATGGATATATTGTGATACTTTTTGAGTCGATATACATGTATATCAATATTAAAATTTCCAATCAACACCTATACCCATGACACATCTCAGTAACCTAATATATCATTTGGGGGCTGACCTAGATGAGCATAACATGATCTGAAGCAAGGAGGATACAAATAATCAGGCTAGGCCTCACCTTATGATACGTCCCAGGCAATGTTTTTCGTATTGTGATGGACTTGCGCCCATAGTATATGGTTTTCCTGAGGTCCGGGAGTTGACTTGGAGATACAAAGTCATTCAGCTTCAGTTTCTGTAAACACATGGAAAAAGTAAAACACTTACCGCACACAACATGCTCAACAATCATATGTAAGTAGATTAATTGTACTGGACACATATGTATCCATGGTTCACACAAAACTTTAGCTTCCAAATTTAAGCCTCTTCCAGGCAAGGACCCCATTTATCAAGGCTAGGAGGAAGTGCCAAGCTTGCTTTCAAACAGATTAAAAAGGACTTTCTTCATTTCATAGTCTGAATGGCTCCATTTGTACTTTCAAATACACTACTAAAATATTATTAATTTTTAAAGTCTAAAATTTTAGGTTGTTTCAATTTGAATATCAACTGTGTTATGGACATGATATCATCACACATTATCAGAGAAATGAACAACTGCAACATATTCATTTTAACAGGAAGGTTAGCCACAGTCACCAAATTCAAGGATTTTTCAAGACATATCACTTTTTAAAGGCCTTTTCAAGGCAGATTCAAAGTTTATAGTTTTCAATACTGGACTGCCAACTTCAAGGCCTGTTCAAGCCTGTGGAAACCATGGCATCTCTCTTAATACCTCTTTACTGGGGGTATAAAACAATGCATGACAACCTATGAACTCATGCTGCAATGAGTCTAAATTGACAAGTACCACTTACATCAGCAAACACACCCAACCAGACAAGATCATTAAACAGTTTTCTTAATTTGACTTGGTGTAAACATTTAACACAAAAATGAAAGTTTGATTCCTCGAAGAAACATGACTTCTTCTTTTTTTCTGTTTTGATATCTTGGAAGAAACATTATTCCTGCCTCCCCTTTCCAACCCTCAAGTACAAACCTTACCTCATCGTATATCTCGGCCATGAGGGCATACAATTCAACCATGCGATGCGGCCGTGCTCCAAGTTCTATTTCCTCTATCTTCATGGCTGTCTTTAACAATTCTAATGCTTCATAGTGTTTGCCTGCCTGAATTCTGTAAGAAAGTTAAATACAATATAGTTCTACTTTCTAATCTATATGTCACATATATAAGTGTCCACATCACTGTGTTCATAATTTCTATGGCTCCTTTCTATTGATATATAGATATATATTGCAGCACATACATCACAACATCAGAAAAGAGAAAGGCTTTTGACTTTCAGTGAAGCCAATTTATAAAGCAAGTATGTGTTATAAAGCAAAAGTTCAGAAAATCTCAGTCAGTGAGTGGGTGGGTGAATGCATGTTGTTTTATGTTGAGAGAGAGAGAGAGAGAGAGAGAGAGAGAGAGAGAGAGAGAGGGAGAGAGAGAGAGAGAGAGAGAGAGATATGTAAACACCGCTTTCAACAGTTATATCATGTCAGCTTAATAATGGAAGAAGGCCTGGAGTGTTGCAGGTCCAAAATATTTATCACGAATGACAACAGGTATGGTGCTGACAAATATAGAAACACAGTCAGGGCAAACCAGGATTCAAACGCACAATGCCTGGCGAATTGCCTTAGATGACTGGGCCCCCATAACAAGTTCAGAAGCACAGTACTCACACGACTCTACAGACTTTCTCGTACTGTATAGACACAGACTCCTCATTAACTGTTTCATCTTCCTCAAACTTTGACAGGGCGGTCTCGTAATAGGAGATCATCTCTGCAGAAGGACCAACCTGAAAACAGACGAGGCACGATTTAAAGAATGTTACTCATCATTACATGAAACTGGTATGTTTGGAAGGACATATTTATCTCCATGCTTACGAATTCTGGTTACCTTACAATTTACAATGAAACCTCCAGTGCAGAACTTACTACACCACAACCATGTTCCACCATGTAATCATGACACTGAAAGTCTGTGCTGATGTACACAGGTCATGACTACCAGGGCACAAAGAGGGCTCCATGTCGTAGGACCAAAGGATATTTCTACGACAGTCCATTCACAGAGAGGTTGGTTGGTTGGTTTGTTGTTTAACGCCGCACTCAGCAATATTCCAGCTATATGACGGTGGTCTGTATATAATGAGTCTGGACCACACAATCCAGTGATTGATATCTGAGCATCGATATTGGGATCAATGTCATGCATCAACCAAATCAGCAAGTCTGAAAACCCGATCCCCGATCCCTGATCGCCTCTTATGACAAGCATAGTCGCCTTTTATGGCAAGCATGGGTTGCTGGAGACCTATTCTATCCCGGATCTTCACAGGTTTCACAGAGAGGTCCTAGTACTATGACTTTCATTAAACTTTTTCAAAGTATGGGTTACAACAGTCATAGCACTAGGATTGTTTGCCAGAAAAGATCCCAAAGGAACAAACAAAGGATCACTAATGCAGGTGTTTTGTTATGAAACACCCTTAATAACAATCCTATAGAGGCGGAATTGTGTGAACAAATACATTTGTTTTCTGTTATTTTCAAAAGTTCAAAACATTTGACATTGTGACACATAGATTGGGACTGAGGATGTTATATATCTGACCTTTCTCCAGTAGGCAAGGAGCTGAGAGCTGTATTCCTCATTGTAGAGTCGGTCGAAGATGTCCCAGTCACATAGACACTGAGCCAGGCGATACTTGTCATCCAGACATACCAGGTGATATGGATACTCCTACAGGTAGACAGGACATGTATCAATGTAACCTCATCAGACACCTAGGTACTCCAACAGGTGAACAAGACATGTATCAATGTAACCTCATCAGAGACCTAGGTACTCCAACATGTGAACAAGACATGTGTCAATGTAACCCCATCAGACACCTAGGTACTCCAACAGGTGAACAAGACATGTATCAATGGAACCTCATCAGACACCTAGGTACTCCAACAGGTGAACAAGACATGTATCAATGGAACCTCATCAGACACCTAGGTACTCCAACAGGTAGAAAATGTAACCTCAAAAGCATAATGTTAAAATGCCCTTAGTTTTTTTTAAATGTAGGCTTTTGTAGAATTTTCCTTTTCGGAATATTCTATAAGTAATACGTTACCACTGTTATACCGAGGCTGTTGTCTCCCACAACTGCTGCTATAGCAAAATCTACCACAGAGATCTCAATTACCTCATGCAGCATGTGCGTAGCCACCTAGCTGCCATGTGACACCCTTCACTCTTGAGAGAGCAAGTGCTTGGGGGACGGACGGGCGGGCAGCAGCCCAGTGGTAACGTATTACTTATAGAATATTCCGAATAGGAAAATTCTACAAATTACATTAAGTAATACGTTACCACTGTTATACCGAGGCTGACTACCACAGTAGGCGGTGGGGAGCACCTACAACCCGAATCCTGACTGCTAGCGTTCCTTCCGACCAGCGGAAGTAAACACCAACGCGGAAGCACTGATGCACATGCACCTAGCTAGGCGTTACCCTATAGGCACTGTCAAGCGCATACCGTAAGGCTCAATCGTCATTGCCAAAACGATTGGTGACTCCAAACAGCCCCACTGGATAGGTATTTCATCGCCGCAGCGGATGAGAACACTGTATCCGCGTGAGCTAAATCTTAGATCAGATTAAACAGTCGAAAGAGGGAAATTAATTTCATTCAGACCGTATATCCCAGAGCAAGCCTACTTAATGTATGTATTAGGCGTGTGACCTAATTCCAGTATTCGTAAGCATGTATCACAAGGTTGGAATACACGACAGACAATTAAATGCATAATTGTCAAAATACAAATAAGGACAAAACACACAAAAAGCCGCCTCACCTGTGGTGTGAGTGCGCTGATTTGCAGGACCCCTACTCCTGTACCCTCGGTGTGGGAACATTGGAGACGACCCAGATTGACCAACGTGCAAGTTGGAGTTTGGAATTGCGCTGGACACCCCCCCTAGATGACCGCTTGTGCCGCGATCAGCAGCCCAAGACGGTGCACCCCCTCCACGTCTTCATCAGAAACCTTTCTGAGGTAATGATTGGCAAAAACCGAGTCAGAACGCCAATAACAACCTCGTAATATTCTGTGAACAGAGATATTCGAGTGTAGGGCAAATGTTGCCGCTAGCGCCCTGATCTCGTGCAGGTTTGACCCCGCTACCGGTAACCCCCGAGACCGGTACGCCAGATTGATGACAGAACGAAGCCACAACGCAATCCAGTTGCGAGTTATGTCAACCGTGCGATTAGGGTTACACGATATGAACAGACGGTCACGCCCTTGTCTACGTTCATTCGAAGCCTTAAGATAATACTTAAGGGCCCTAACCGGACACAGCGCTCTGTCCTCAGTATCAGCAGGATGTAAGATTTCTTTGAGTGATCTTACAGTGAATTCTCTCTCCGTTTGCCGATTCTGATTCTTGGCGACGAAGCCAATGAGCAGGCCCAGGCGGACCGCTCCTTCGTCACCCCTATCGAATCGTACCTTGGCGACATCGAGTGCATGAATTTCGGATACACGTGCCGCCGTGGCAAAGAAGAGGAGAAATGCTGTTTTCCAAGTCACATGCCGGAAAGAAGCACTATGCAAGGGTTCATACGGTGCTTCCGTAAGTGATTTCAACACTAGGGAAAGATCCCAGGCCGGTGCCTGAAGGCGGCCCTTCTTAAGATCTTGCTGTTTGAAACCCTTGATAATACCCCGTATCACCGGCTCTTTGGAGAGACTGGTACCCATAGCAACGTCCCGTACCGTAGTAACGGACGAGACATAGTTGGCAATGGAACCCCCAGAGAGTTTCCGGGTCTCTCGCAAGTGAGACATGAAACGAGCAATATCCTGCACAGATACCTTATCTGGCGAATGAATGTGATGTTTACAACACCACTTCGTGAAAATAACCCAACGTGCATTATACACCTTCAGGGTAGAATCACGATGCATACTAACGTATGCCCGAGACGCCTGACGAGAAAAACCTTTACTCCTCAGACGCTCGGTGACAACATCCACGCGTGCAGATTGAACTGCCCTGCGTTTGGATGAAGCTGACGGGTGTGAGGGTGGATCAAGAGATCCGGTCTCACAGGCAGTGGAAGTGAACGATTTCAAGTTGTGAATCATTCTGAGTTCGACACTGTCCTTCTTGGGAACTAGAAATATCCTGGAGTAAAACCCCGGTGTTATTTCTGGTAGAGCTAACTCCAGAACTGCCCTCTTCTCCACCAACCTGCCGATGGCATCGGCGAGGATGGGAAGATCGGTTTCCGAATAGAAACCTTCCAACTGGGCGACCGTGAGCGACGGATCCGCTTTGAGATCTAGCCAATAGCCGTACCGAATCGTGTTGACCACCCACGGGTCGTCGAACACTTGTTCCCAATTCTCCCAGTAAGTCTGGAGTCTGGCTCCGACAGGGGAAGGGAAGGGAGGCCTGACAGGCTGCGGCAGACGCAACTGTCCAGGGCTGAATGACTCGGGTTTGCCTACGGGCCAAACGAAGCTGGCGCTGTTGGCACACAAACCCTGCAAGAGAGAGTCATTTGGAGGAGCCCTTACCGTCACGAGACAGCTTAGGCTTCCCCCAGTGTCCCTTCTTCCCCCGAAAGGGCGGCAGGTTGCCCTCAGAGTGGGACCTCTTCCCGGAGGAAGAAGCAAGGACCCCTTGGACTTCCCGGCCACAGCATCCTGAGGGGCACTCCGTTTAGGGGCACCACCCAGGCGTCTGTGCAGAGACCCAACCAGATCCAACGTATGCTGTGAAGCCGCGGCAGACGAAGCAGACTGCTGTTCTTTTAGAACACCAGGTATCCGATTATTTAATAGGGTCTGCGCAGACCAAGGCTGCGAAAGTAACACCTCCTGGTTGGCGGCGTCCAAACCCAGAAGAGGCAAGGTACGCTTGCCGCCTCAAAAAATGGCACGTGCCGGAAAGAAAGGCCGAAGCCCCGGCAACGTACTCAAGGGCTGCATTCAAACCGATCAAACAGTTGTAAATGCGCTGTTCTCGGTCCGTGGGGGAACCTTCGACCAGACTGGCCGCCCCGGCCAAGTAGGTGTCGCCATGTGACATAGCGAGCATGGAGTGCCGGAGGCCGCCGCGAAGGCTTTCTGCAGAGACGGCTTGATCCTGCGCAACAAAGTTGACGCGGGAAAAGCCTTGTCGGCGGACTCGTCAAAAACCTCGGAGGAACCCACCGAGCCATGGATTCCCCGGGGTACCGGCTGGGGCCGTGGCATGTCCTCACGGTCCTTAGTCGATAACGGGAGTATTGGCTCGGGGGAAGGACCGGTGACTACGGTAGCCGCCGCCGTACCCATAGACCCCGCGTCCGAACCCGCAGCCACCGAAGGGGCCGGGGACGGAACAACCAGGGCCTTATCCTGAGATAAGGCCGCCAGTTTGGAGTCCACCAATTGCGACAACAAAGCCGCCAAGGAATCTCCTGACAGCCCAAGGGCCGCCAAGGGATCCGCCGCCGAGGAGGTAGTGCCCGCAATGGGCGCCCGACCGGACAAACCGGCCACCTCAGGGGTGATAGCAGAACCCACGTAGCGCCTGTATCGCGCAAAATCCTCAGGCCCCAGACCCTCGCACAGGGTGCACCGCGGGCATCGATCATGGGGATCCTGGGACGACAAAAACTTCTGACAAGCGCCGCAGCGCCTGGCAGCAGGAGTAGTCAGGGTGCTGGACAAATCCAATTCCATGTCAGACATTGTTCTTTGAACAAAAAGCAAAACATGGTTACAACACACACACCAAACATATTCTCAAACGTAGATTTTCCGAAGAAAAACAAACGATAATAGCGAATACATAAAATACATATGTTATAGATATATATATATATATAATAATAGGTGATGCAAAAAAACACCCCACAATATACCACTAAAGGTAGACGGAAAACACAAAGTGTCGCCGCCACACCCCGTTAGAAGCGAAAAAAGGCGGGAAAATTTTCTAAGCGCCGTATAACGAACGCCCCGTTAATTACAGTTTACTTAGGACTAAGAAACAGTAATAAATATCACCAAGGATAGCAGGAGGCTGGTAGAACGCAGAGCAGTCTATGGATACGTCTTGCGAAGGCAAGCGAAGAGACAAGAGTGAAGGGTGTCACATGGCAGCTAGGTGTCACATGGCAGCTAGGTGGCTACGCACGTGCTGCATGAGGTAATTGAGATCTCTGTGGAAGATTTCGCAGTAAGAGCAGTTGTGGGGGACAACAGCCTCGGTATAACAGTGGTAACGTATTACTTAATGTAATTAAACGAGCCATGTGAACATATAACATACACATATAACATATAGAGAAATAAGTGATGTTAACCCCCAAAACATACAAGAACAGGGGAAACGTACAACACAACGTGCATACGTGAACCCCGCAAGTATATAGAAAAAAGAGCGGGAAAAATATTCCGTTTGACGGGAAAATTATATCCAAGCATAGCTACCGCAACGCCCCATAAAAGCACAGTTTATTAGAGAATAAATTATAATAAATATCACCGAATAATCGAGGAACGCTTAAGCAGTCTTGGATACACGTCTTGCTAACGCAAGCGAAGGAGACAAGAGTGAAGGTTGTCACATGGCAGCTAGGTGGCTACGCACGTGCTGGATGAGGTAATTGAGATCTCTGTGGTAGATTTCGCTATTGACCTTTTTCACACTTCGCTACTTCCGGTTTGAAATCGAGGCTTGGAG